ACTTAAAGGGTTTCATTCTGAATCAGTCCGTTTTAATTGGATGGGATCAAAAACACTTTACAGGCCTGATTCAACTCCCACTGAAGTCAGGGGGAGTCTTCCCATTGATTTCAATGTGAGGTGGCTTCAGCTTTATATGATGGCAATGCTCCCACAGGAATGAAGGCCCATTAACTTGCCACCCTGGCTTACCTCCGATGATTCATCATCACCCACAACCATGGGCTCAACGCCCGTTGCTGTCCAATGCCTCCCTCACTATTTCATTCCGTCTTTCCCTGTCCAAAGTGTGGAGTGGCTTCGTTTTTGTAGACTAGTTCCGCACCAATCTACTATATCATCTACCCATTCTCTGGGGGGTCTGCCTCTCCTATTTGGACCATCCATTGTGCCAAATACCAGGGTCTTAACTTTTCGCTCATCATTAATTCTGCAGATATGCCTGAATAGCTGTAACTTCCATTGTATAACCTTCTGCAGTAGGTTCTCTTTTGGCTGTATCTTCCTATATAATTCCTCGTTGGTTACCTTCTATGTCCCTAATTGCCAGCTGCCCAAGGAGACCTGGACTGTGAGAAGACCAAGAGCTCTAAACATAATCAAGTCAACCTGGCATCACCCCATCCTTTATTAAAGACGTTGAGTACAGATTAGTGTTCTTTAAAAAAAGGGAAATAAGTGAGATTACACAGAAAGCATAATTCAGTTCTAGGCTGTATAGTCTTTTCTATGCTGAAGAACCCCTTTTACGGAGGGATGGTGTGCAACAAAGCCACATCAGGGGAGGAGCACAGCTATCTTGGAACTCCACTGGGGGGAGGTCCCAAGCATTGATGGCTCTGGGATGGTCACCTGTTACCACAGAAAGAGTTGTGACATGGAATATGTTTTCCCAGGAAATAAAATACTATTACGGCATTTCCTCAGCCTTCAGGATACATTTATGGACAAAGTCTATAAACCATGGAAGTCTGCAGCATTGCACATTAGAATGAAGCCTCATACTTGCCAGAAAACAGAGCTCTCTCCTCGTTCCTGATGTTCCCTCTCTAATGTGTCACGGCCAATGCGTATAACACTCCTCATGTGTTTATAGCTACTCTTCTAGCAGGAGCTCACCAGATTTACCTCTCGTATCCTTGACTGCCAGACCTCAATGAACTCCGGAGAAGTGGCATTCACCTGACTGGCATTCTGTGTCCACGCAGGGCATTTCCAGTTAGGGAGGGAGAGCATGGCAAGGGAAGGAGTCAAGAATGCAAAAGTCCCTCCTTGGAGAATGGGCAACCTGGAAACAAGCCAGAGAGTAGAATGTTAAGTTAGTTGAACTCTGGGAGTCCCCCACTCCCAGCCCCATGTCAGGATAGGGCAGGAGGAAGATTGTGGTTAGTAATATTGACATTCTGCAGTGAGCTACACAAAGGCTATTTCAGAGCAATTGACTCGGGTGAACAGAGTGGATCAGTAGCACCTCAGCATGTAGAGTGTCAGTGGAAACCTGGAGGCCTCAGCAGAGACATAACAACAAAAAAGTGTCTTTAAGCCACACAGTTATACTAACATTTCATTTCAAAAGAGGGATTTGGGATTTCTCATGTTTGCCTCTAGTAAGTTCCTTTTCCACACACTGATGATTCTGTGAACCCAGGCACCAACAATACCCAAGAGCAGGTATGTATTTTGACACCATTGTAGTGCCCCACTCATTGGGAAATGCTACTTCTGCATTCAAACTTGGAGTCCCTCATCCCTATTTGTGGCAGTGAGGTAAAACAGTCATCTTAAAGCATGTGTCTTTTGGGTCAGGGCTTTGTGCTACAAGATTGTAAAAGAACAAGAGAAGAAGGAAGAAACCAATGCAAAGGAAGAGTAAAAGTCAGAAGTTTGTGGCTAAGTCTATGTCTACACTACAAGGTTTTTGCGCAAAACCAGCCATTTTTGCACAAAAAACAGTGGAGCGTCCACACCTCAAGCACATTTTTGCACACACAAAAAATACAGTAAATCGACAGGACAGAGAGCTTTTGCTGGTAGAGTTATTCCCCACAAGGAATAACTCCTTTTTGGGCTACAGCTCTTGCACAAAAAGGCATGTGTAGATGCTCCACAGGGGTTTCTTGCGCAAGAAGAGCCTATCCGAAAAAGCACGGGTGCTCTGATGGCCGTGCAGTGTGGACGCTCTCTTGCACAAAAGCACATCGCTTTTGCGATGCACTTTTGAGGTCTGAACGCGTTTTTGCACAAGAAGATTTTGCGGAAGATCTCTTCTGCGAAAAGCTTCTTGCGCAAAAACCCTGCCGTGTAGACAAAGCCTAAGTGAGAGAGAGGGAACAGCAAAAGAGAGGGGAAAGAGACAAAGTCAGAAAATTAAATAAGAGGCCCGATTCTCCCCAAACATGGTAGAAGTAACTCACAGTGAAGCAGTGATAAACCCAAGGGGGTAGGCTAAAGCTTCCTGGTTAAAATTCTGCCACCAAACTGAAGGAATGCTGGGACAATTGCCCCAATGGAGTCATCCCCTCTGAACGGTGTTCGCCACATCTTCAAAGTGTAGACTTCCCCAAGTCCACAATTCTTTGAAAAGGTTTCCAGTGTTGCAACTTCCACCATTGTATTGCAATTCTTGTAATAGCTAGGTTTGTTCTTAAAAGCCCCCTCTCTCGGATCAAAAGACTGCCTGAAATACAGCTTTCATTAAGTTTCTGACCCTCCGAGTTGCAGAGAAGATCATGGAAATGTGCAGCAAGTGAACCATAAAGGCTCTGAAAGCCAGAGGGTAAGTAAATGAACCTTAATTTCGTACTTTTATTAAAAAAAAAACCTTATGATTTTGGCAGGACTGACATGATTGTTGAGTGTGTGGAGCTGGCAATATTGGGTTTCCTAGTGGAAGATACCACTGCTTCACCCAAGAACTCACTACAAAGTCTTCACTGCCACCTAGCATCTAATTAATTCTTCAGCCCTGCAAATCTTCTTCTCTGTAACTCCCATACTACTGTCCCTTTAAGGTTCTCATGTGGCCCCCACTACTGTATTCATCTTCACAACACCCCCACGAGGTAGGGAAGTGCTATCGTTGCAAGGGGAACGGAGACACAGAAAAAAACAAACAGGTCATCTTGGATCTCGGAGTCCTAGACTGGAAACTGGACCATTCTCCTTCTCTGTATATGTCTGGACCACAAAGCTTATCAGTAGCTAGAAGTGGAACAGTATTGTGGTATTTGCATATGATCACACAAAAGTCAATGGAAATTATTTGTACCCTGAAGCGGGAGGGGAAGACCCTTTGGCAACTGGCTCTAGTTAATTTCAGTAGAAATCATGTGTCATTCCTCTAGTCTTCTTTGAAAATCTCAGCCTCTATGAGGGATGTTATAAGCATACCAATAGCCCAGAAATCGTTTTGAGATTAAACATGCTATATAAATATATAGAACTGCCTCCTTCTCATATAAATTATGTATTTCTGCCTCTGTGGTTACTTGCACACCGTGCAATTAGGTTTATTGAGGGTTTTTTTTCCAAACATCGCTAGCAGAAAATCACCAGCTACCTTTTGTTTAAAGTAAGCCATCCAAGCAGTCATTTATTGTTACCGTACTGAATTGATTTCAGACCTCAGAGGGTTTTCCAGGGAGTGGTTTGGTATTTGTTTAAAGAAGGCCCAATGACAGCTCTGTGGAATAAATACTAGATTTGTTGCTCCTTGGTGTGGGTGATTGCATGGTATTAAAGCTATTTTCATAGCTAGCCCTAGTTTAAGAGGGCTGAGAACAAACTACTGCTGAGGCTATACATGATAATTCACTGAGTTCTTGCCATGTCGCTTGCAAGACAATTGTCTGAAGTTTACAGAGAAGAATTGTTACAACTTGTTTTTCATTAATTATAGAGCATCCAAGCTAGGCTAGATATAACAGGGATAGGCAGGGTCTCTGCCTTTGATCTTGTCTCTTCCATGAGTAATTTTATATATCTTGTACAAAGGTGACAGATCATTTATTTGTGAGCAAACTCCAATTTTGCTAGTTGGAAGAGAGCTAACAGCAGTGGATCCAGCTGGGAAACTGAAGGGGAAGGATGAGTGTTTTCTCTACAGCCTCCTTAGCCCATCCATTCAACCTGATCTCATGGAAACCCATCTGAGGAATTATTGGAGAAGAATAGGACTGGGAATCCTGTGGTACTATGAACCTCCTAAGATCAAAGCCTGACACCTTTGATGAGACCATGTGTTTCTTCATTGTCAGGCTTCTGGAAGGGTCAAGGTGTGGGTATATTGATTTGGTATGTTCTTTACATGCAGAGAACAAATGAAGGCTGAGCTGTGGGCCTCCCTGTGGAGTCTGGGTGATTGTCCTGGTAAATCCACATCTCCCCACAAGTTATAGTCCATCAAAGACCTGAAAGTGCTCACCATGCTCTCCGCAAGCACCCACGCCACAGGAAGGGAAGCACCCTTTCCAGCTCCTGCAAGGCCCTTTCGTTTTCTTCCTGACTGTTCCTTGGTCTGTCCCACAGTTCATCCTTTGAACCTGGGCTGAAGCCATTGCTACAGGGCACTGGTTCTCAACACAGGGGCTGCTTGTGGCGCAGTCAGTGCACAGCTGAGGCTTATGAGGCATCTTGAGGGCCATACAGGCAGTGCCTGTATTTATGTGGGCCATATAACACAGAGAGCTGCGTATGCAGCCCACAATGGTTATCAGGTTGAGAAACACTTCTATAGGGTCTCTGCCATCTCAGGCGCCACACGGCCTTCTGTGTCCCACGCAGCCCCTGCCAGCAAGGATGACTGGCATCCCCGACTCTGCACCCTCCCTGTCAGGCTGTCTAAAAACTTTTGAGCACCACCACCACCACCAGATCGGAGCCACTAACACTCCACCAGCTAACTTCTGGGTAAATGAATGGCAACATCTCCAGGGAAGAGGGTTGCCCCACACAGGTGATTCTACCACCTTTATATCCAGGAGGGATAATAATAACCCACCTGCCTCCGTGAGTAACCAGAACCCACTGAACAGTCTCCAGCAGGATCGGTTCCCGGACACTCGCTAACAGAGGGGCTGTTTTTGCAGACAGCCACTACTAGCCAGGTATCTCCAGCTAGTCTGGTACCCTATCTCTGACAAGGACCAGTGCTTGATATGTCTGATGAAGCAGCAGAAAACTCTGTAGTAGGCAGTAATGGAAGAACCAGCTCACCCACAAGGCATGTTGTCTTCCAAACCTGTGCCTTGTTGTGATCACTATATGCCCTAAAGCACAAGGGATTATACCACAGCTAAATACATTTTTTCTCAGGCTTTGTCTACACTTAAAAGTTCAAAGCACAGCTGCAGCAGCTCGAGCCAGAAAGTTACAGGGCTGTAAAAGTGGCAGTGTAGACTTAGCCACACTCATGTGAACTCTGGGTGATTTTCTCTTCCCCTTAAAAGCCACACAAAAAATATAATAGAGATTGCCTACCTCTTAGAACTGGAAGGGACCTTGAAAGGTTATTGAGTCCCAGTCCCCTGCCTTCACAGCAGGATTAAGCACCATCCCTGATGAATTTTTGCCCCAAATGGCCTCCACAAGGATTGAACTCACAATCCTGGGTTTAGCAGGCCCATACTCAAACCACTGAGCTGTCCCTCCCCCCTTTTCTATGACAACATTTTCTGATGGGGATGGGGACCTGTGGCTGATCTCCGACTCCTTCCTGGCAAAAGAAGAGCCACAGCTAAGGAGCACTGAGCTCTCATTCTCCCCTCTCCTATCAGCTCCTGATATCTTTGCCCTTCAGCTGCACCGGCAGCCACTACAACAATGCTGGGAGCACATCAAAACTTCCACCAAAGTGTTTATCTTTCAGATTAAACAAACTAGGAAGTGGCCACTTGGTACATGAAGACCGATTAACAGATTTCTCTTGGAATCAAAAGGGCCTTTGTGCTGTTGAAAAGCAGCTAAACAAATCTGCTTAAGTAGATCAGGGAGCCTTGCCTGAAACTGAACAAAGGGGATCTCTGTGCCTCTTGGAGTTTCACTTTGATGCTTCAATGCTTTTCAGAATATGATCTGAAGAAGTGGGTCTGCCCCATGACAGTTCATCATCTAATAAACCATCTTGTTAGTCTTTAAAGTGCTACATGACTGCTTTTTTTTTTATGCTACAGTGTAAGACAAACATTGTCATTTCCTGATACCTGGTGTTTTCCCATACTCCCCTGTGAGACGGGGTGATGCACTGTCCCTGTCTTCTTATGCCCCAGAAACTGCTCAGACTCACTGCCCTTCAAGGTTCAGTGTGCCTCTACCCTTTGCCACCGACACACAAAACCCTCTCATCCGAGTTTAGTGGCACTTTTGGCCCGGGCTAACCACCCTTTCTGTGGCTATCGGCTAAAATACAAACAAGGTTTTCAGCTGGGTGAGTTGCCTGCCCATTTTGCAGTGAGGATGCAGGCTAAATTACCCAACTGCAGCTAATCTTTCAGCTCCTTCCCACAATTCTCCAGAATCTCCATGTTTGCCCAACACCACAGACAAGTTCTGCCACAATTCACTGGGAACTCCCATAGGATTTGGGTGCCTACCTCCTGTTGAGAATGTGGGTCACTGTAACTTGGATTTAGATTTATGGTGTGGCTGCGCAGACCCAAACAAGGCTCAGATTTGGGTACTAGTCACTTGAGATAACCCCGCAGTGAAAACATACCTAAGGCTGCACTAACCCTTTCCTTTGGTGAAACTCCTGCTGCTCCTCAAAGTTCCTCTGAAGGGATATTTTCCAAGCTGTGACACTGAAGTAGTCACACAAGTGGTGGCCATTAACCAGCCCATTGACCGTGTCTACCCTAGGAAAATTTACTGCTAACAATGAGTGCTGCTAACCCAGCACTGAAAATAGATGGGATAACACAGCACCCAGCGCCATTTTAGCAACTAGTTGGGGCAAGTCTTCTTGAGGCAATGTTGACAATGGTTTTATCTTGTCTACACCAGCACCTAAATGTGTGCAGCAATGTCAATTGCTGATAAGCCAGACAGAAGGACAGTTCCTCAGCTGGTGGAAACTGGTGCACTTCCTAGTCAGTGAAACTACACTGACTTATGTCAGTTTACAGTTTGGCCCACAACGGTAATTTGAGTGAAAATTCTCCCCCTCCCACTTCTTCAGGCCTCATTCATCCCCTTGGCCAGCTGCTGTAATTGTGGCATGATTTCCATCCTCCCCTTCCAACCTGCCCAGCATTAGCTTAAGAGGAAGCTGTCGGGGCTTTTAGATGGAGCAAGACGCTTGGATTTGGCAAAGGGCATATCATACCATCCCTCTGCTCTACTCCACTGCCCCTGGTCTTCTGACAAAGCTTTTTGCAGGTGTATCACATAATCACAGGCAGTTCTTTTTTTTTCTTTCTTTCCTGAGTGCATAGAATGTTTTCCTCTTAATGATTTAATCCTAGAGCTGCTCCTGAATGAAAGTAAATATTCCCAGGTATCATTCCACAACTCAGAGCAGAAAGCATAGTAGCAGGGTTTATCTTTCCACCTGCCACTCGAGACACCATTTTATGAATTGTTGCCCCTTTGGTCTGTGGCAAAAGTATGTCCTTACAGTTCTACATGCTCAGGAAGGCACCCTAAAAGCCATGACTAGCAAATCACTCTTGTTCATTAATATACGTCACAATTAACTAACTGCAACTAGGGGCGGCCCTAGACTAGCTGCCAGCAACTGGCACCCTAGGTGAACCATGCAATCGGCACCCCCACCTCCAAACCCCTCAATGATATTGTGCCACCATTTGGCGCCCCATTTAACTTGGCGCCCGAGACGACTGCCTAGTTCACCTATATGGACGGGCCACCCCTGACTGCAACTGCCCTCTTGTAATTACAGTCTCCACGTCACTTTTACCGCTTTTGGATAGGTTATATTGCAAGCATTTTGCCTACCTGACTCCAAAAAAGACTTGAAGGAGTGTACAAATTCCCGAGACAAAGAAGATGGTGCTGATCAGGTGACCCTGGGTCAGGGGGTCGTGCTGCAGGCAAAGCTCTTTGGAGAGGATCAGAGGGATGGCTACAAGCCCGCCCAGAGCTGTGAGGTAGTGCTAAGAACCACAGAGAAAAGAGAGGTGTGAAAAAGGGCTCAGTACCTGGCCTGTCCAGTATAACAATTCTACCATTGTGGGTCCGTGAAAAGCCATTTGTAGCTCAGGGCCAAAATGATGCTAATAACACTAACCCGTAACAATCTTAATTTTCTCTTACAAGTTTTATTTTCTGGTGTGCATTGTTCTCACGGGCCTGTCAGAGCTTTAACAACCTGTCCCAACCTTACTTATTTTGTACACCATACCACCACTTGGCATTCTGTAGAAACAACAGTACCTACTTCCCAAGGGGCTGTCCAATGGGAACTAGCACATTTCCAGGATTGGGAGAAAGTTATTTGGGGGGCTCTCTACAGGAAAGGAGGACAGGTTACTGGAGGGAAGTACCAGGTTGGGTTTATGTCAAATTTACTTTTCAAGACACTCCACATCGCTCTAAGGAACCCTCAATCTTCCCAACTTACAATATCCCTAAGGACATTTCTCATGCTTCCTTATGCCAGAAATCCATATTGGGGAAATCAGCAAAATGGGTGCAAAACATCTATCAAATTAGAATGATCCGCTCATTCCCCCTGGTTTTATACTCTGCATAAGTATAAATAGCTACATAAGATGCAAAGAATAATCAGGGACCTGTTTTTAAATAAACCCAGCATACAGATGTGTGTAAGATCTTCAATCAGTCATCAACACTAAACAAATCTTTAGAATCCTATTTTCTTTTCACTATTAATTCTGATTGTGCAGTTCACCCAGGTTGGACAAAAAAAATAGACTAGTGAACATAGCTTTTGTTCCTTGTCAACATCACTGTCTGCTTCCTATGCACTAGAATGGTGCTGCAACGTTTGGGATGCTAACACTTCAGGAAATGTTTACATTCTCCCAAACTAACTGTTGCTTTCATTAGAATCTTTTTAATTTTAAAAAAATGGAAATATTTCCAGTAATCCTTGGTCCCATACAACCTTGTTTTTATAGAGCCCTAAGTCTGAGTATAAACTAAACTGATAAGATCACATTGAGAAATTAACAAACTACAAACTATCTATCAGCGGCCAAAGTCATCACTACTTTAGCTTAATCATTGGTAAGCATATTACCATGTAGATACTGTACTCTAGTAGCTTGCACTGTGTCAACCACATTAGGTTTATTTTTCTCACACAGTCATATAAACTGATGGGCTGTACAGTCTCTTTTCCATGCTATTTCTGCTTTGCTTTTATTGACGTGTAGTCAGAGAGACCCTGGAACCTTGAGATATTTTCCATCACTCTGTAACACAGGTGTTATTCAATGGGCTGTCTATTACTATTTGTACATAGAGCATGAACTCACTGCAACTGGGACTATGTCTGCCAGGCCCACCAACAGCAATTCTGGGCCCCAGGGCAGAACAGGCAGTGGGCCCCCATGCACGTACAAGTTGCACTCATGCAGATGCAGCCCGCCTGACAACTGGGTAGGGCTGGCTCTGGGTGGGAGTTTGGGTGCAGGGTGTGGGCTCAGGGGTGGGGCAGAAGGCTCGAGTGCAGGAGAGGTTGAGGGGAGCAGAGCTCACCTTGAGCGGCTCTTGAAAACAAGCAGCACACCCTTCTGGCAGCAGCTCCTGTATGTGGAAGTCAGGGGGTTTCCGTGCACTGCTGTCCACAGACTCCACTCCTGCAGCTCTCATTGGTCACAGTTCCTGACCAATGGGAGCTGTGGAATTGGTGCTCTGGGTGGGGGCAGTGCACGAGACAGCCCGCATGGGCAGCCACTTCTGTGAGTGGTGTGGATGGTGGATAGGAAGCCTGCCTTAGCCCTAGTACACTGTAGGTGGCAGCCAGGGTCCCCCCAGGGCCTTGTAAATCATCTAGACCTCTGGACAATTGCCCCTTTTACTCCCCTCTGTCGGTGGGTCTGGTGTCTGCCTTAACAGGGATGAATTGACCTCACCAACAGCCAATCAGAAGATTTCAGGCATGGCCATTAAACATGAGCTATTGCCCAATTCACATTTCATTTCTTAAGTGGGGCTATGAACATCCGAATGAACCTCCACCCATTCGCTTCCACCATGGCCTTGCTAGTCTCACCTGAATCCCTAGCAGGATGCAGAGGTACCATGGTGGAATGTCGGTGACTGAGTACACCAGTGTGCTGTAGCTCTTGCCCTGGTCTTTCTTCTTCTCTTCTGGGCCCTTAGCATCGAGTTCAGACAAGGCTCTGTATGGGTCTCCATCTTCAACCTGTAGGGACCAGGACAGAACATTCCTCAAGCAGAGCCTCATTCAGAGAGGTTCATCACCTGCAACTCTCATTGACTTCAGTGGGATCTGTGCACATCTCTCAGGTTCTTGTCAATGTGTAGGAAGGAGAGTAATTTAATTCACACTAACTCGACAGGGCTGGTGGGGGTGGTGGAGAAGAGGTGCATTTAAAAACAATGTGAAAACCGTGAGTGTGTGTGTGTGAGAGAAAGAGAGAGGATCCAATGAAAGCTTCCTCATTTTGGGAGATGCAGTCCTCTGAGTTACCCCCCTTTTCTTCTTTTTGTCCTTCCCCTTCTTCCCAGGCTGCACTATGTGCTTTTACCCTACACTGTGCAGATTTTCATCAGGGAGAGCAGCATTTCTCAAACTGGGGGGTCTTGAGGGCTTACAAGGTTATTTAAGGGCAGGTCATGGTATTGCCACCCTTACTTCTGTGCTGCCCACAGAGCTGGGTGGCCAGAGAGACACCCTGTTGGCTGGGCACCCAGTTCTGAAGGCAGCAATCCACCAGCAGCAATGCAGAAATAAGGGTGGCAATACCATGCCATGCCACCCTTACTTCTGCACTGCTGCCTTCAAACTGGGTGGTTGGAGAACAACAGCTACTGACTGAGGGCCCTGCTCTGCAGGCAGCAGTGCAGAGGAAAGGGCAGCAATGCCATACTACGCCATTCTTACCTCTTTGTTGCTGCTGCTAGAGACATTTTCTTCACAGCTGGGCTCCCAGCCAGCAGCTGCTGCTCTCCAGCTGCCCCGCTCTGAAGGCAGCACCACTTCTAGCAGCAGCGCAGAAGTATAGGTATCAGTACTGCAAGCCCTCTTCCAATAACCTTGCAACCCACCCATAACTCCTTTTTGGGTCAAGACCCTAGTTACAACATCATGAGATTTCAGATTTAAATAGCTGAAATCATGAAATTTTACAAATTTTTAAATCCTATGACTGTGAAATGGGACCAAAATGGACCATGAATTTGGTAGAGCCCTAGTCATAGCAAAGTAACTAGTACAGTGCATGTATCATTGCAATACTAGCCTCTATCCTGGGAGTTCCAACTGTCAGGTCGACCCCTGCGATTGCCTGGTTCTCAGCATACACTCTGAGCCACCATCATTATTCTGAACACAAATCTTCTTGATAGAATAAAAACAGAACTGCTTGAAACAGAAAGAACTCAGATGATCCGAGTAAGGGAGGAATCAAACTTTAGGAAAGTTAAAAGCTTAAATTGAGCTGGGGCTGGGAGCATTTTAATAATGAAAATAACCCTTTGCATTTCTACAGCACCTTCCACATGAGGATTTCAAAGCACCTTATGTAAGAGGGAGCAAAGTTTTCTTTTCCCTATTTAACAGATGGGGAAACTGAGGCTATGTCTAGAATGCAGAGTTTTTCCAGGATACCAGGTATCTCGGAAAAACTCTGCCACGTCCAGGGAATGCATCCACTTTTTCAGAACAGTTTCTGAAAAAGTGGGAACGTTCTTTCGGCATCCCTATATTCCTCATTTTATGAAGAATAAGGGATCTTCTGAAAGAGGAGGTTTTTCCCACATTTGGCCCTGTGTAGATGGGCCAAATGTTGGAAAAGCCTCTTCTGAAAAAGGTACTCAAATTGCATATCTTTTTCCAAAAAAAAAATCCCCTGCTGTGTAGACATAGCCTGAGGCACAGAGCAGTAACTGAGCTGCCCATGGTTTAACACTGTTCAGCTCGGTTGAGCAAACCAATCCTCCTCCCGAGGATCTCAAAGTGCCTGCCTGGGAGGGGGTGAAGTTTTATTTTTCCTACTTAACAGATGGAGAAACTGAGGCACAGAGCAGTAACTGAGTTGCCCATGGTTGAACAAACCAATCTGTGGCAGAGCAGAGCACAGACTAATTCTCAGTCCTCCCACAGGGTCTGAGCAACTCTTCTTGATTGTAATGAAAGTTACTTGTATCCTGAAGGAAAGAACAAAACTCCCCATCTCCTTAGTCCCATCTGCCCAGTCCTGTGCTTTATCCACAAGACCATCGTTCCCCTATCCTTCCTTCTGTGGATTTCCAGCACAGTTACACACTTGCTAGGACCACCACATATAATTTGCTCGTGAATTTGCTACTGTACTGGAAATCCACAGGGCACTGTCTTAGTTCACCTCAAATTCTCTCTATTGACTTCTCCACGAAATTACCCTTCTTAAAATAGACTCATTTAAAAAATAAAGAAAAAACAAATCCTTTGACATTTTTCATTTTCCCTGCCCTTGTCATCCCATAAAGCCCCCAACCCAGGGACACAGCAACAAGCGGCAGGTTTAATCCCTTCCAAAACAGCTAAGTAAACTATAGTAAAATCAGGGTCAGTTCAGCTCCTCTCCTCTTTTCTCTCTTATTTATAGAATACAAGAAAGGGACTCAGGAGACACAAAACAGCCTGCAAAGTGCTGTTGTACAAGAAGTAGGATTTACTGCAGAAGACACCTGGTCATGTCAGCCTCATCTTTACAAAGTACTCTGGAAAGACCCGTCACTCTGCCTCTTTTTCGCTTCCCTCTTCCTTTCATTCACTCTTTCAAACAAACCCCTTCTCTCTGATGCTGCTGCAGCTTCTCTTTCCCCTTTCCTCTCTTGTTTCTCTTAGCTTTCCTGCTCAGAACTCATATAAATTGTACAGCAGTGCAAGTAACTTAAAATTTCTTACGGGTACTGTCCTATTGCAACCCAGGTCCCTGCCACCTCTTTCAATAGCTCCCTGCTGGCTTTTGCTTCTGCTCAGCCAGCTCTTACCGGAGCTGTGTACCAGGGAGCACCCACTTACTTTCACCTCTGATGCAAGCTATACTTTTCTTAAAACAATAAACTCACCATGAAACTGGGGTTCTCCAGCCCATTGACCCCTTTGACTGCTGAGTGTGTCATTGCTTCCAAGTTTCTTCAGTGTCTCACTTTAAAAGGAAAGAATAGAGGAAGGGAATCTTCGAAAATCTCTTCATGCTCCAATAAATAAAATCCCAAACAAACAACCATTCAGTAGCAGAGGAAACTGAATTCTAGGAGCTCAGACTCAGTCCCAACTATTCATATAAGACATACAGTAATTTTCTTTTACTTGCCCTGTATAAATCATTAATTTTCTTTTATTTGCCCTGTATAAATCATTCACTATCTCCTGTTGATTAGAAATTAAGTGCTTGGCCCATGCGGAGAGACTACTCTTCCCTGAACATATTGCATCAGTAAATGATGACAGAAAATTGTTCCTTGTTAGGTAAAGGATCAGAGTCAGGCAAAACATTTCCTTGTTGGCACAATTGTTAATTCATCTTAGATTTGCATCCTCTACCGTGGTTGGGTAATCTAAAAAAGCTTTTATTGCTTTTTAATAAATATAGTTTGCAACCGGCTTCTCTTATTCTGCACGATGAACAAGGTGGAACGCATTATTGTATTTTTCAGCTCAGCAACAGCTCAGTCATGCTGTATGTGAGTCTTCTTGCAACATGAAGAGAATGTAGAACATAGCTCTACCGAATCTGAGACCACAACCAAAACCTGAGACATCAGAGGAAGATGAAAAAAACTCATAATGCCCTTGATCAATAGTGTATCTTTTTACATGGATGTGGACGCCTGACCACTGACATAGTGGATGCCTTGAAGGATGAGATTTTTTATCTTCTTCTTTATAAGTGAAGCTGATACATATGTTTGTTCATAAATTCTCTCAGCCCCTTAGGAAGCCAGTGAGTTAAATACAGATTTTTAAAGGCTGTAACTACATAGATTGACTGTCCTCTGTAAGAAGCAGAACTCCACCTAAATATACTGATCACTGGTTTGGAATGTCTCTTTGCTTTTATATTATGAAATTGTGTTTAAAAATGAGGTTTTATCTGACGTTGACTCTAAACCCTTCATAATCATACATTTTCAATCATGTCTCCTCTAACTTGTTTCCTACCTAGGTTAAATAATCCTAGAGCAACATTTTCAACGTTAGCCATTGATTTTGGGTGCCCACCTGAGACACCTTTGGTCTGAATTCCAAAGCTGCTGAGTAACCACACTCTCTACTGACTTCAGACAGAGCTCTGGCTTCTCAGAACCTTTGAAAACCCCGGCCTCTGCACCTTGAGGCACCTGACCTCAGGGGACACTTGTGAAAGGGTCGGTTTTCGTCTTTTCACTCTTATCAAACAAGACTCTCCTCATACCTCTAACCATATGTGCTGCCATTTTCTAAAACTTTTCAGTTTGCAGTTAGAGCATCTATCGTCTGAGACCACCAAAACTGGACCTGACACCCCAGGTCAGCTCCATTTCCTTGTGCACCAAGTCCAAGATCCTGAGAGGTGCCACCATCATTCAAATCCCTCAAAAACACATCCTCTGTGAAGCCAAGCAATGCTAAGCCATCCTAAGAGAGGAGTACACATATGGAGGTGTGGGGGCGGGGAGGCCATGGAAATGACACTGGTTTTGAGAATGGATCATCTCCTATCTATCCAGTGCTCTGAAATATGTTGCCTACTTCTTTTTTCATGCAACATCAGGCACAATAATAGTGCTTAATAAAATAATACCCGTGAGGTTGTATCATTGGTAAGTTATGAGACTCTGATTCATATTTTCCTTTTCTAAAATGCATTCACCCCTCCCTATGTGCTCTTTCATATGTTCTCACGCCCTCAGAAGGTGCCCTCATTATTCTTCTGTGTTGACTCCCTAATATTAATCTCTTTCCATTCAAAGAAGCAACCCTTTGCTGTGATTCAATGTTTCTTACCTCTCTGTATTTTTTTCAGTCCAACACAAGACTTTACTCCTCCAGCAAGTATTGAGTCTCCTTAACATTATTATGAGAAGGCCCTTGTCAAAAATCTTTGGTCTTCTTGGCATCACTCCAGCAGACAGTTGGCTATCTGAACTGAAGAAATCAAAGTCTTGTCACAATAACTTCTCCAACTGACATTTGAACTCTGATCTGCCAAAGTTCTTTTTTAATCCCTTTGCTAATATAACCTTGCTAATATTTTCTTTGATAATAGAACAACACTCAACTCTCCATATATGATTATTACGCAAATTACAGGAATGGGAGCGGGAGAAGACATTTTTAAACTTTTACCATTAGTTACAATTTCAGTCAGAGCAGATTTAAAATGGAGCTGTTCCTGATCACTCCTCCTCATTAAAGACCCCAAATGATATCCTGGTCAAATTGCACCCCGGATAATTCCATATTGTTGAAGTAAATGTCCCCCACAATTCAGAATGGATACAGCAGTTGTCTTCACTGCATGCTCCAAAACGGTTCTGAGCACGCTTCCGTGTTGTGTAGGAGCCAAGACAGAAAAGACTTTGCCACCATGTCCTTCAGCGGAGAGTGAGGAATGTGTAAACTTTGTTATGCACTTTGGAGTGAAAGTGAAGTTATCAATACAGACATTTATGGTTCTCTAAGGGCACACTGGCAAGGCACAAATCCACGGCGTATTTAAAGAAACGAGTCCTCACACAACATTTGATATGAACAGAAATATATTCATAATGGTTCCAATTCAATTAAACCAGTTCAAAAACTGTACACGTAAACCTCACACCTCATCATGGGAAACCAAGCAACACAAGAGTATTGTGCTGATCCCGTGGAACCAAGTGACTGACTATAAACTGTCAGTGAAGTCAACTGAGTTAATATCGGGAACAACTGGGGTTTTTTTAAGTGATACATTCACAAAAATATAGCAGATGTGACAGCAGAGGCTGGTGCTCCTTATGAGATACATGCTCCCCAGTTGTGAAAAAAAATGAATTATAGGGCAGTCAGAGATGAGAAATAAAAGTAATCTGACTTGGAAGTAGAGCTAGTTGGAAAATATGCAACAAAAAATAGGAATAGTTTCATGGAAAATGTTCCCTTAGCTAAGCAATAGACCTGAGTAAATAATTCACAACAAAAAAGTGCCCAAAAATGTAGCCCTGTTTTTTTTACTTACAGAACTTCTGCAATCCGAATTCACCCAGACATACTTCGAGTTAGTACATAATTTATTATTTTATTTATTTTTAAACTATTGCTTGTTCAGAAGTATTTCCAAACAAAGAGGCATTGATCACTTGTGATTTGTCAGTAAACCACATGCTATGTACCTTGACCGGATAAGCACGCACACATTTGCAGTGTGCATAGTTTGTCATTGATATTTTAATTTTTATTTCTGAAAACGTCCATTTGTGAAGCTTTGAAAATAGCTCTCAGTAAACAGAATTGTCACAGAAAGCAAACATGACAAGGAAGGGGCCTGGCCAAAGCAAATCCAGTTAACTGGTCAAGATTCAGAACCTTTGTAATGTTTGACCATTATTACCAATTTTAAAACCACAATGCTGTAGTAAGAGACAGTTCCTCTCCGAAGAGATTTACATAAAAAACACACATGTTCAGATGGGGGACTGAGGGAACAAAGGTGTCTTGGCCAAAAATATGAGGCATAGCAGGGAATCAAACCCAGCCCTCCTTTGGCCCAATCTAGAACTTTCCTCACAAGGGCAACTAGCATGACACCCATTACATGAAATACACAACATCTTCCGCCCTATTAATTTTTCATGTAGGCAACTGCCATAGTTGACATTGCGAGATTGCATGGACTCAAAGAGGAGGTTCACATAACTGGCTAGGTCCAGATGCAACTCAGTGGGCACTGTGCAGGCAGCCTGAGCACAAGCCTATAATTAACCTCACTCTTGATCAGCGGTCAGGGCCAGCCTGAGGTACGTGCAGTTGGTTCCCCGCCCATGGCTCTGCGCTTTATTATTTGCCCCACCAGGCTCTATTCTCAGGTACTGGAGATTTAGACAATTAATTTTATTACATACTAAAATAATAATGATTAAAAGTTCAAATTATATTATATTAAATTATGTAAAAAATACCTATGTACATACATTGTTTTGCAGAAGTAAAATGTTCCTTATGACATATACAAATGAGGACGAAACAAGTACGTCCATTTTAAACCAAGTGCCATAATGAAGTCCGTAATGCACGCGCTGCAGTGTAAACTATAGAGATATGAGCATGCATCATATGCAGCGGGCTAATAGCCATTTTGACAATTTTGAGTGTGTTAATATCATTAATGTGGTGGAATGAGGTTTTAAAGTTTTATAATGAATCTGTTTTTTGGTTGGTTTTTTTTGCACCACCCAGTGTGTGTGTGTGTGTGTATGTGTATATTTTTATATACCCACACACAAAATTTGGTAGAAGGTAGTCATTGGGTACACAGTTGCGTAGTTTCCTGTTCCCTGAGTGAGCAGGGCAGGCCTGCTGTAGAGCAATTAAGTCAGGCAGGCACCTGAATCCAATTAAGAGTAGCCTGAAGCAAGTGAGAGAGATAGGCTAATCATACACCTGCAGCCCATTAAGGACCAGCAGCAGCTGGTTTAAAAGGCTTCCCTTCAGAAAAGGTGGGGGGAAGCTAAGGGCTGGGAGTGAAGAAGTGCACTGTGGAGAAGCAGGAAGGACTTACTGCTGTACCAGGAATTAGGAGAAGAGATGGAGAAATAGCTCAGGGAAAAGTTGAAGCTCTGGTGGTGGAAGATTTACTATCTGCTGCTACTGATTAGGGTTCCTGGGCTGAAACCCAGAGCAGAGGGTGGGCTGGGGTTCCTTCCAACCATCCCTGCACTGCTATGGAAACCATTCCAGAAGGTGGAATTTCTGCTGCATATATTTGAATTGGGCCCAGCAAGTAATCATGCTGGCCCTGGTTCCAGACCACAAATCTTCTATTGTATTTCCTCCTTCCAGAGTTTCAGGATCACCTCTTCACCATCCCAGAACAGGGATGTCCCCCACTTGTGTGCACACATCTGTCAGTGTACCTCCAGCCTCCTTTGCACCACCACCACCAGCTAGTCTGATCATCAGTATCTCACACATTGTTGCTACGGATGTTGCTCTGGATCTTCTCATCCAGTGCTTAGCATCTCACCTCATCTGCTGCTCCTCATTCTCCCATGCCTGTTCTTTAAGTCTCCTCTCTGGGCCTCTCTCCTGTCCATTCCCAGGCCTGTTTCAAGTCATGGTTTCCAGAGCATTAAAATTCAAACGCAGGTGGCTGGCGGACAGCAAAGAACTGGGTGGCTTTTTATCATTCTTAATGATGTTTACATACCTGAACACCTCAGTCACTCCTCCTTTTGAAGTTCTTGTTTTTGTGGTGTGGGAGAGAGGTGTTTGATTCCCTTCAACATTGTGCTTTTTGGTACCATAGGAACTGTTTTGCACTGGCACACAAGAACAAATTATAGTTTCTCAAGCCTAGTAACTCTATGTCAAAAACTGATGTGGGAGTGGGTGATGTTGGGCA